ATATCTATCTATCTATCTATCTATCTATCTATCTATCTATCTATCTATCTATCTATCTATCTATCTATATAAATTAGGTTAAAATATAAATGCATGTAAAAGGTAAAGTGCAAACCTTTTTATTTTTTCATTATTTTTTAAAAATTATCTGACAAATAAAAAATACACTTTAAAATTATTTTTTGAATTTGTAAAAAAGAAAAAAGAAAACAAAAAATGATTAAAGTACATTTGACAAGAAAATGCTATTACAGTGTTTTAACTTCCAAATTTCACGTTTAATTCAGTGTTACTTGCCATTTCTTCGTAATTATTTGTGAAATTGACTAGCAGTTTTTGAGCGAAAAATTGACACAAAGTAAAAAAATAAATATTCCATTTAGCCTGTCAATTAATGTGAGGTCATAAAATTAATATAAAATAAATAATTATTTTAAAAATGTTTAAATTAGTTCTACGTGAAGTAATACTTAACTACTCATATCCACATATACAAAACATACACGTATCCTAAAGCTCGAATCCACAGGTATTCACTGGTCTAGTTCAGCTGAATTCACAGATTTACTTCCCTCTGCTGATTTAAAAAGTGGATGTGCTGACTCAGGTCTCGATGACTGATGGCATATCTGTGCCGGTTTGCCATCTGTGTGGTAATAGAGGATACAGTGTCCACCCAAATTCCTTCCCTTCACCTCCCTGTACTCCCTTCTCTAAACACCACTACATCTGTCCATGCACAAAATGTTTTATTTCAGATAAAAACTATAACACTTGACTTGTATCTTTTTTACAATGGCATTCTTGTGACTCTACAGCTGATGTAAGGCTCCATTTGAGGCCTGCTGATAAGTCAGTGTGACTTTGTCGTCCCCTGGTGTTGATTTAATGCCAGTTCAGTCGATGTAGTATAAATGCAGAGCGCCATCTGTAGGTCAATACATAAAACTGCTTTAAACTGGGTATTCGACAGCATGTTTTAATAAAATATTTGATCTTTTAATGAAGGACTCCAACGTCCTAATTCACTCAATAAACTTTTATTAAAAATTAAACTATTTTCTGTTTGTAAACTTCAAACAGGTAATAAAATAATCAAGCTCTTCACCCGAGGGTAAACTGTAGCTTTATTGGTTTCAATCAACACTGAATATGAAGCAAATATTTACACAGTTGATATGATATGATGTGAATATGAGGTTGTTCTATTATCTAATCCCTCTCTATGGACAGCATGGCACTCGCACATTTTAATCGCAGCAAATCACAATTTAATATCGCGTGCAAGCCACAGCTGGCTGACAAATTAAATGAATAATTTGCCATAAAATAATGTTCAAGGTGATTCAGATTCAAACAAACAACATGAGCGTTCTATCAAAATGCCCCTTTATCATTTTAAAATATATTCAAAAAGAAAACAGTTATTTTAAATTGTAATATTTCACAATTTGGCTGTTTTTACTGTATTTTTGATCAAATACATGTAGCTAGTGAGCATAAGAGACTTCTTTTCAAAACAATTTTAAAAAATTGTAACAACCCCAGATTTTTGAACGGCAAATCGCTGTTTATAGGAATAGTAGTGAAAAAAACGTGCTAAAAATGTATTCATCCTCAGGCCATCCAAGATGTAGATGAGCTTGTTTCTTCATTGGAAGAGATTTGGAGAAATTCAAATTCCATCACTGTCTCACCAATGGATCCTCTGCAGTGAATGGGTGCCGTCAGAATGAGAGTCCAAACAGCTGATAAAAACATCACAATAATCCACAAGTAATTCACACCACTCCAGTCCATTATTTAACAGCTTGTGAAGTAAAAATGCATTTGTGCATTTGTAAGAATCAAATCCATAATTAAGAGATTTTTAACTTCAAACTGTTGCTTCAGGCTAAATTACGAGTCCTCTATCCATAATATTGCTTTCTCCAATGAAAAAGTAATCTCATCTGAATCAAGCACTGTTTACAAGCGCAACCAGTCCAAATCAGTTCTAAACAAATATGTTGATGAATTTTGATGTGAGAGGAGAAAAGAAGATGGATTTTTTCACTTAAGGAAGCATTATTGTGGATTATGCACTCATATTTTGGCCATAAGCGACGGATTAAAGTTCAATGCCTTAATAATGGATTTGTTTCTTACAAACACACAACTTTCTCTTCACAAGACATTCATTGATGGTTTACTTGTGATGTTTTAATCAGCTGTTTGGACTCTCATTCTGACGGCACCCATTCACTGCAGAGGATCCATTGGTGAGCAAGTGATGGAATGCTACATTTCTCCAAATCTGTTCTGCTAAAGAAACAAACTACATCTTGGATGGTCTGAGGCTGAGTACATTTTCAAAATATTTTGGGTGAACTATTCCTTTAATGTTGCATGGAAGCCAAAGCTGGTTGACAGAATAAATGAATAATTTACCATAAAATGTTGAAGGTGATTAAAATTCAAACAAACAACATGAGCTTTGTATGCCAATGCCCCTTTATCATTTGCAACCTCTTTTCTCGCCGTCGTCTACTGTCCGGCATTGAAAAGCTTCTTCCTGCCCTCCATGCCTGACATCGCCTCCACGTTTTTCCTCCAGTCTGTGACCTCTTCCTTCTGATGGAGAGAAAATGCTTCAGTGAGACAGAAAGACAGAGATGAGAGCTACTCAAATGGTTGCACGGCCGCGGCGGACCGTGGCAACACACATCAGACAGACAGACGGGGTGGTTTAAATGCCAACATTTCATCACCGCCGGGCCTTTAAAGAAATCACTTGATCTCTAAAATAACCCGTCTTCTTCAGACACAGCACATCTGAGCAAATGAGCAGAAAACACAGTCTGTACTAGCAGCCAGATGGGCTCCTGGTGTCTCGAGTACACTTGTTATAGCGTGAGCTGGAGTGTTACCTTTTCTTCTTCCTTTTTAACTGTTTTGAGGTTGGCTTTGAAGTCAGCTTTCATGACTCTGGTGTCTGTGAGCGCTCCCAGCATGGCATCCGCCGACTTCTTCACCCTTCTCAAGTTCGGCCGCTTCATTTTTCCTTTCAGTTCATAGATCTTCTGGGTTAATGAGAGAATCTGGTAACGAACAAATATATCAGGCTTTAGTTAATAAATCTTTGAAGTGGCTGTATCAAGAAAAGTACTTAAAAATATTTTATATTTTCTGAAGAACAGTACTTTTCAAAGGTTTGGGATTTTTTTTAAATTTTTTTTTTTTAAAGAAATGAATTCTTTTATTCAGCAAGGACACATTAAATTGACCAAAAGTCACAGTAAAGACAGTTATAAAGATACAAAAGATTTCTATTTCAAATAAATGCTATTCTTTATATTCATCAAAGAATTGTGAAAGAAATCATGTTTTTCACAAAATCTTAAATGTTTTCAAAATTGATAATAAGAAAAGTTTCTTGAGAACCAAATCAGTATATTAGAATGATTTCTGAAGGATCATGTGACACTGAAGACTGGAGTAATGATGCTGGAACTTCAGCTTTGATCACAGGAATAAATGACATTTTCTAATATATTCAAATAGAAAACAGTTATTTTAAATTGTAATAATATTTCGCAATATTGCTATTTTTTACTGTATTTTTGATCAAATAAATGCAGCCTTGGTGACAGACTTCTTTCTAAAACATAGCTAAAATCGTACCAACCAACAAACAAACACATTAATTAAAACATGAATAAATGAATGAAAGAATAAATAAAAGATAATATTTCAGAAATGTGTATTATTGATATTATTTATGAGTTTAAGAAAGACTAAAAAGTCTAAAACTAGACAGATTTCAAATCTGGTAAAAGAAAAAGAAAATTCCCCCTTCCAACCCCATGGTATATATCATTTTTTTCATACCTCATTTTTCATTTACATACCTCTGCATCATTTCTGGCGACTTTTATATTGAGGTCATACCGCGCTTCATCCACAATGTCAATCTTGTGGTGCAAATCTCTACAAAGTTCCTGCAAAGACCGATGATGATACATCAACTCAAATCACTAATGCAAACACCATGAACACGAGTGCTTATGATATGTTGAGAGATGTTTTGGGACGCAGCCATCTGGCCGCAGTAGCAGCTCTCAATGTAAATATCTGCTACAGTAAAGTGTTGCACCTTTAGTTCTTGGACCGACAGGCCTGAGAGATTGAGGGGCGGCGCTCTCTCCCTCAGGGTGTGTTCTCTCTCCACTTCTTTCTGCTCTTTTTCTTTCACCAGCAAGCTTTCTGCCTTTTTCAGCAGTTTGCTCTGAGGGTCAGCCGAGGAAAAGGTGAGAGAGGTGTCAGGTAAGTACAAAATACATCATTCTTCACTTGTGTCCACTGACAGCGCTGAACATTTGCACATGATTTCAGTGTTACTTTAGCACCCGATTCCCTAATGCAAATTACTAATGCAATTCACTAATGCAAATCAGGTGAAGGCACAAAAACACACATAAAACCAGTTCTGAGTACAATTTTTAAATCACAATTGTCCATCCAAGTAATAAGGTTGTAGAGGAT